CATCCCCTGGATGCTTATGAATAATCCTGATAGCATCGAGGAAAGAATCAGGTCTGTGACAAAGAAGATGAGCGGGGGACTCGCGCTTCAGTCACACCATGGGGGAACCAAACTCGCATCGAAGGAGGCAGGACACTGTTAGGAGATACGCCATGTCAATGGCTCGTCCAGAGTACATTCGCTGACGTAGGCCTATGCTTAAAGATGCGAGACAAGAGAGGGACGAAGGGTGAGTTCAATCAAACGCCTTGCAGCCCTTGCTTTGGTTGCTTCACCCTGGTTGCTGGGATGTCATATGCATTACTGTGTCTCAAAAATCTAGAGCAGACAGCGAATTCAAGGGGCTTGTGAGTTTCGACTAAGAATACTCAATTACGTAGAGTAATATTACAATGGAATGATAAACCTTGTATCAAACGAAGAATATGCGAAGACTACTTTCATCCATCCCTCTCAGCTTTCTTCGTACTCATATTCGCGCTATACTACTATATTCCATTTTGATCTTTAGGCAAAGCTGAGTTAACGACCAACAGCACCATACCAGCAGAGTCCCAAAATACCGCCAATGATGATCGCGATCGCTGGAGGCACCTTGAACCAAGCGTGCTCCGCATAGGTAACTGTAGCAACAACGACCCACCATGGCTCAAGAGCAAGACTCTGACCATTACTTGCTTGGGGTGTCAAATATCCAATCTGCCACAGCCTGTATACAGCAGTGAAGACCAGGCCCACGGCAGCAGCATTGACTCCTCTAAGCCAGTCGACAACCCACTTTCTCTTACGGAGCACTCTCCAAAAACTCTGCACGGCAACTGCCAATGTGATACCAGGCAGGAAGATGCCGATGTAGCCAAGGAAAGCGCCAAATACAGTCGGGAACTGGGACTTCTGAAGCGCCAGAGCTCCAAGGAAGACCGCAAAATTGAAGTTGGGGCCCGGGAATGCTTGAATAAGAGCCAGGCCAATCAGGAAATCTCTGCCGGATACCCAGCCAGGATCAACAACGTAAGAACGCAGAAGAGGAATCACCACAGGACCTCCTCCGAAGATAATTGTTCCGGCCAGATACATGTTGGCGAACAAGTCCAGGGCAAGTGGTGGGTGATTGATGACCCCTCTTGCCACCAGGATTGCAATAAAGGAGGCTGAGTTGGCGGTCAGTACGGCTCATGGCTAGACATCAAAGGCTGGAGGATGAGCGCAAAGCAGGAACATACCGAAGAAAACAACGCAGACCGCGATACCGACACGGATCCGGATGATATGATCATGAGAAGCGCTGACTTCCAACGACTCAGTTTGTGCATCAGAAGCAGTTTCTGGAAGAGATGCTGCCTGTCCAGTCTTCCGTGACCGTACGGTGCCTTGATTAGAAGGAGTGTTGCGCATCTGGCTGTCTTGTTGCTCTTGAAGCTCCACTTCATTAGGAACGCCATTTTCCTGCCTTGCTTCTTCGGGGTGGCTGTTTCGTCGCCTCCATTTAGCCCTGGTTTTACGGATATACTGGCTCATCCATCCGTCCCATATGACGACTGACAGACCACCAAGAACCATGAGAAGCGGAAAGTACCAAAGGGCATTGTAGCACAGGCCGGCACAAGCGCCGAAGATGACTAGCATGCGGGTAAGCTTATCCTTTATTGCCTTTTCTGCTAGCTGGACGGCTGCCAGAGCAATAATTCCCACAGTCGAAGCATTGAGGCCAGAAAGGAATGCATATGCAATTTCCGGCAGGACATCATTGATATTTTGTACACCGAGGGAGAGAGCATACATGCCAACTGCTCCGGGAAGACTAGACTAGAGATTAGCTGCGCCGTTCGTTGCATATCGCCTCGAATGATGCGTGGAAGATAGAGTAATGTCAAGAGCTCACCTCCATATAAGGAAAGCAAATACAGCTGGAATGAAGCCTGCATGCAATAAAGTCAAGCAGAAAAGCATCTTCGTGCTTCCGGGCCCGGGAAGAGCTTGACAGATGGCAAATAGTTCTTGATACTACAAGGTCATTCCGATCAGCCTATCGTACCCATCATCGCTGGGTTCAGCACTAACTGTTTGCTCATCCGCCCATTTCTCCTGTCCTCCTTTGCCCTCGACAAACTTTTCGTGAAAAATCTGGAAATGGACCGGCGGTCCTCCAAAAGATGTGAACCCCAGATGCCATGTTCGTAAGAATACATCGCTCAATCGGCTAGAAAGACCTTTTTTACGTTGCTCAGAAGCCGCCCTCTCTTGTACGCGCTGGTTCAATGCGCGGAGCGAAGAAAGGTAGCGCGAGAACGGCGCCGGCAGCTGCATCCTTTTTCTATCCCTAACCAGCGATGTGCGAGTATTCAGTTGGCAATAGAGCATGAATAGAACTGATATCGCCGCAGTCTCTCCTCCTTTTGAGCATCAATTCGCAAGCCATACCTACGGTATTTACTCCGTATGATGTGTTTCCTTGGCAGCCCAGAAAAACTGGCCATTCATAAGAGAGGAGTATGTCACGCCGCTTGTCACAATTGCCAAGATGATTGGACCTGGAAATGCCTAAACTTGTTAGGATAATAAGATTACGGGATATTTAGGCCTAGACTGAGGAGTACGTCGTCGGGACGCCTTTTTGGCCTAGTTGTATTATGTTTCTACAAAACTCTAATATAAGCTCGTTTTTCTCCGACTCTTTGTGTAGGTAGCATCCTGACGGTGACAGCAGATAAGGATTGAAGAAGATAAAATACATGTATTTCTGCCTTAAACAGGTAAGCATCTATCGCAAAGATCAATACTACTAAGGTATGTTCCGAAATCATTACCGATGGTAAACCATATGCAATCCAGAATCTGATGAACGTCTGATTCTTTTCCAATGAATGGCTATTTAGCCTGTCTTTGTACCCTCCTGTTAGGAAATAAGACACTATATTTAGTTTCCCATCCTAATTTAGGATCCGTATGCACAACTTCAATAATGTTCTGCGCACTGAGAGTCATTCTATTAACCCGACGTTAGTCATGAACAGACATCTGCTGTATACTACAGCTCTTGTTCGACGTGCTCACCAGGGGTTATCTAGATGATGCAGGAAGTCCCAAAAGGAGACCTATGTGGAATGGACTATGTCCAGGCTGATTGTCACCGCGGCAGTTGCTCGGCTCCAGAGATAGTCTCAGCGCCTCCAGAAAGTCGGGCATCAGTTGTCAGAGCAAAGTTGGATGGGCAAACTGCGCTCAGTGCTCAAGAGTAAGCACAATAGGTATTGAACTAGTAACAATCCGCCCTCAAATGGCCCAGGCTATACATTGTTCGAAATTTGGTTTTCTCTGAGCATGTTGATACGGACGCTCAGAATACTGAAACTCTTCAACAGCGAACGAAGTATCTGAGGTCGTCCAGTTTTGCTGGGTCTGATCAAGTTTCTGCGTCACCTGCTGCTATAGAAGGTTCATATGTTAACATTCAGAGCCCGGCGGCATAGCGCGAGGTGGTATATGCACAACAGTATCTGCTCTGCAGTAGTAGCGATTTGGCAAACAAGGGAAACCATCGCTCAACCTCCGTTGGGAGAGACAGTGTGAGTTCCAAAGGCTCCAACGAAAGAAACTTGGCGTGCAACACTCGATACCGGTTGTTGTGCCCACAGATTCGATGCGAACGGCCTCAGGCACATCTATTGTGAAAGGTAAAGTCAACTCTGTTCTTTCGATGCATCGTGTATACAACCAGTTTGTCTCTTTGAGAGGGCCATCCAAGCAGAAACTGGAGGAGTCAGAGAAGGGAATGACGGGGATAGAAGGCAAAATAGTGAAAGATTACTTACTCTAAATCTTCAGAACCTGCTGGTCACCCAGATTGCAGCATGTCAATTCTACCACACGTGAAGGATGCCTGATCATACTGGGTCCTGCATCTAAAAAGGGCTATATTGCGCAGCAATATGCGTATATATGAGAGGAAGACAGTTTCAGAAGAGGAAGATTTCAGCGGAAGATATGCAAAAGCTGTACCGATTGACCTACTGACTCATGCACCGTTGAGGCATGACTGAGGTGTGGAGTGTCTGGCTGGGACCACATGCGGATCTCCCAGACATCCATTTTCTCATCACCAACAACCACTTTGTTTCCATACCTACTCCTACTCCCTCCACTCATTCATCTTTTTCTTGACAATGAGGAGACTTCTTGATTTACCCGCGGAAATTCTCCTCTTCATCATCGGATTGTTTGAGTCAGCTGAAGACTGGCCAGTCCTTCTCTCCCTTTGCCTAACCTCTCACCAGCTCTACGCCCTGGCTCAGCCGATACTTTTCAAAACTTACCTGAATGGACTTCATTGTCATTGTTGTCACAAGACCAGCGGCAGCAGAGATGGTCTGTATTCTCTACTAGGCTTTACTCAAACTCTTCTTTCTCGGCCCGACCTTCGGTCATGCGTTCGTCAGATAATCATAAACACCTCAACCTGGGAATCCCGGACGCCCGAAAGATGGTCGAAAACACTCACACCAGAAACTATAGCTCTGCTGGTTGATGTGGTTCAAGGTCTTTGCGTGAACGACAAGGCGGTGTTTCTCTCATCTATAGTGAGGGCGAAAGTGCCTCCTTTGATTGTACTACTGTGTTCTCGCACACCAAATCTTGAACGTCTTGATCTGACGCTAGGAGAAGAAGACTTGAAGGATCTGAGAGCTTCATATATGCCTTCGATACAAAAGGGCTTGGTTTCTCCGTATCTGTCTAAATTGAGGAGCCTCGCTATTGGAGGAACTTGCGGCCAGATGAATATCATTCAGGCAGACACCCTATCCTTCTTCTTGAGTTCGTCGTGCCTCGAATATTTTTCCCTTTCCCTCCTTGATGTACGGGGCGCTAGTGATTCAGGCTTCATGCTCCCATCGCAGTCTCTCAACATTGCTTCACTCTCCCTTACCCGAACGTTTTTAAATACAAACCTTCTGACAACTCTCATATACGCATGCAAGGGTCTCAAAGCTTTGATCTACGAGATGGATTCTGACACTTCAAATCTTGTTGAACTTTCAGAACTCGCTGCCATCCTCAATTCACAAAGAGAAACCCTTGAATATATCATTGTTGATCTTGATTTATACGATTGGGGGCTGCGCTGGGACGAATTCCCGAAGATTGAGTCCTTCGCCTTCTTTACGAATCTCCGGCACCTAGAGATCGAACAGTGCCTCTTGACCGACAACCCAGAATTACCCGACTCACTGAGGCATCTGGTCATTCGTGCCTGTGAACACCCTGTGGCAAGATTGTTGACAAATCTGACAAGACGCAGCTTCGACAGCCTAGATTCTCTCATGTTGGTCGTCTTACAGCCCCGGTCATCACCACCCAATGGAATGTTCGGTCTCTCGGAAAGATTTGACAGCGATGAAGACGTACATGCAAACATCCTGTATCGGTCTGCATTCAGAAGAGCCTGCAGGCGACTAAGGAAAATAGTCCGCGAGGCATACTTCGACTTTGATATACGATGTGAAGAATGGGTTTTGTTCGAGGAAGGACTTCTCTGAGCTCCGCAGATCTGGGATCTATGAATTGATCTTACGGATGAAACAAACACGAGGCAAATTATACTTTGCAAAAGTTGCGAAAGCACTGCAAAGAGATTGCAGGTTGTTGATTTTGTGCTTTTGCGTGGAAATTCAGTGTTGATATTTGCTTTGTAAGTTGTCTAAGCCAACTGAGCTGGCCGTACGACGGGGAAAAGGATCTCATCTTTGTTACAATGGTGCCTCTTCAAAGATTATACAAGCGAGTAGAATCTATGAAGGAGATTGATTGAGTCTAGTGATGGTCCTCTCGTCGGACTCATAAACATATATCATGGGCAGGTTCCGCGGGGTCCGACGAAGAACTGCCCGACTTCAAGTCTTCCGAAATCCGAGTGTCCCTCCCGTTGCATGTGTTCCTGAAATCAAAAATTATTATCATCAAGTGTCATATTCATGTTTCATCATTCTGGGCCTTTTGATCGCGACAGTGCTGAGCCTAAAAGTCCGAAGACGGAGTTTACTACTATAATAGGCATATCCGAAGCTAATGCCGACTCCCGAGAAATACTGCATTCAGTAACGCCGAGACGCAGTGACAATAATCCCCGATTTTTTTTGCACTCAGCATTACAGGCGCGACCATCAGAACAATTCTAATCTGGTCAGACTGAGTCATCTTTAGGAGTACAGAGTTGATCAGATAAGCCCTCGGCGGGTCTAGGCTCCATAACTATTGGGCATTACCAATTATTCTAACATCAGCGACCGTTGAATGGCCCTGAGTTGAGCACCGCCGTGAAAACCACGCCTGTGGGGTCATAAGCCTTTGAAGTATGATTTCCTCGCAATTCAAAGATGGACGACGATCAGGAGTCGCCACATCATATGGAGCACTCAAGGTCATCGCCCAAATCCGCAGCACGTCGGCGCAGACCACCGCTAGCATGCACCGTGTGCAGACGGCGAAAGCTCAAATGTGATCGAGCATTGCCATGCAGCCAATGCATCAAGTCCAAGACTCCAGATCAGTGCATCTATGTAGGACCTCAGGCTGGCGCGCTATCAAGCGTCCGACGCGCTGAAGACCAAGATACGACTGTCAATGACCGTGCTCGAACGACCACAGATCGCGCTCATCGCAGCAGTCCTGTTCATAGTGGTGTCTATGTTTTCGACTCCAAGCACCGACCTTTTCCGACCAGAGTTACAAAGCCTAAAAGTCGCTCTGATGAGCTGCAGGAGCTGCGTAACCGAGTCCTGACATTAGAAAATGCGCTGGTAAAAGCCAGCTCGATTCAAACTCCAGAGACCCTGGGCACCGTATCCTCGATTGTCTCAGAATCAGGACCCCGTACAACGGGAGACGAATGCTATCTCAGCGAGGACATCCGGTCTCTCCCATGGGCATCTTTTCGGGGGAAAAAGTCTAATACTAGGTACTGTGGTCGCTCGCACTCTATCCTAGCCCTTTCATTCGTAAGTTGCTAGCATCCTGTCGCTTGGTGTATTCCTCCGGGCTAAGTTCTTTGTAGTTCCGGGATGTGGGTGATTTCTTGAGGCAACGCAAATCCAAACATAAGAAAGATTCCGAGTTTGGATCGTTGAAACAATTTCGGAAAGAAATGTGGCTCAAGCAAAGACGAGAACAGCAGCAACGTGTGCGTCAGGAGCAGGCTTCTTCTTTTATGGACCTGCTTCCTCCTCGCCGAGTTGCTGATGAGCTAGTCCAGTTGTACTTGTCCAATTTTGAAACCACATATCGCATCCTGCATATACCAACCTTTCTCAAGCAGTACGAAGATTACTGGACTGCACCCCAGAACCCCGATATAGTTTTCTTGGCCAAGCTTTTGCTTTTAATGGCCGCTAGCAGTTGTTTTTACAGCCCAACAACGCAGATCAACGGCAAAGATTCACTTGCGAGTACTGCAATACATTGGATCGAAGCAGTTCAGACATGGAGCGCAACGTCATTTGCGACTCGGAACACCAACTTTGATATGTTGCAAGTCCATTGTCTGTCGTTGATTGCGCGCCAAGCGAACGCTTTTGATGGGGATACCATTTGGATATCATCTGGCTCGTTGATACGATCAGCCATGACCATGGGCTTGCACCGTAACCCGTTGCGCTTTCAGAAGCTGTCTAGATTCTGGGCAGAAATGCGCCGCCGTTTGTGGGCTACCATACTGGAGTTAGACTACAGTCGTCGATGGATGGAGGGATGCCGCCGACGATTGACCTGGAGGAGTACGATTGCGATCCACCGTCCAACTATGATGACGCAGATCTGATCGAAAGTATGACAGAAGATCCGCCTCCCAAAGATCCCGGCATCCTCGCTCGGAGCAGCCTTCAGGTTCTACTTTCGCGTACATTGCCCGTGCGAGTACACATAGCAAAGCTCGTCAATCGCCTGAGATTCACAATCTCGTATGACGAGGCTCTGCGCTTGAGCGAGGAGCTCATGCTGTCTCTGAATGATGCTTTGGATTTGTTCCCAAGCGACAGATCTCTGTCGCATATCCCCGGCGTTGAGAATCCCGCATTCACCAAGTCGTATTTCATTTTCCTAATACGAAGGCATCTGCTAGCCCTCCACCGCCCTTTTTGCCTCAGTATCATGCGAACTCCCAAATTCTCCTACTCACGAAAGATTTGCCTCGACTCGGCGCTGGATCTGCTCTCCTTGCTGGAGCCCCCTCATGACGTTGCCGAAGCACGGCCCCATCCTCATCTTGGACATTTGACCGGCGGAATGTTCCGTGAAGAGCTATTCCATGCGGCGATAATGGTTTGCGTGGAGCTAGTTCTGCAGGCTGACGAGTATCCGCGGTCAAAGTCCATGCTCCAAGGCCAAAATAGCGTCTTGAGTTCCCTCAACGACATGGCGGAATCCCAGCAAGCGGTCATGGTACGTGCCGTTGAAAACACCATCGACCTCTTCGGCGGTCGCATTGCACCAGGAGGAAGGGGTTGTAAGCCATATATCTTCCTGAGTATCACGCTTGCATCTGCCAAGGCGCGATTGAAAGGGGAGGATTCCTTCAAGACTATGGATCAAGCTGGTGAAAACGCCATCAGAGACTGCCAGTTATTGATGAGCGGGGTGCCTTGGGCCGACGTACGCAAGCAAGATGAAAACAGCACAAAGGAAGTGAGTGATTGCAGCTTCCCAACAGCGGCTATTCGCTAATTCAGGACTAGGCCAGTATTTCAACGCCCGGGCTCACTGCGGGTACGCCACTCGATCCGCCCTTTGATCCTATGGCTTTCGACCCTAGCTCCATGGAGGACATTTCGGTAAGACTCTGTCTCAGATGATTGAATCGACCCTAGAGGCTGACAAGCTAGCCGTTGGACTTTGGAACCCTCTTCGACATGACCGACTATGGAGCTTCGGAAATTTGGAATAACGATTTCTTCTCAGGGCTTTAAGCAACTAGCGTGCATGAGGAAAGGCGTTCAAGAAATAAGGAGTTAACTTGCGATCTTCCACTGGCAAATCTCCAACTAGCTTATGTACAAAAACCTCTCGGTTAGATCCATGTATAGATGAAACAGAGCCTTCTTCGCCTGTGATAGCGACGAGTCATCTCGGCAGGGGAAGCCACACGTGCGCCGATACCGAGTATAAAAGTTGGGCAATCCCGGGTTCCAGCAGCTTTTATACACCGTCGAGGAGTTCTGCATATCTCGCGTTCGATAGAGTCATTAGCAAACCAGGACCCTGGAGCTATGTCGTAAGTCCCTCACAAAGAACGTTCTTCATCACCATTGATGATTATTACCATAAATGATGAAATCTCATACAGCCGTACACCATACTGGACTTAAATCATATACCAGCAGAAAGGCGTTTGGTTTCCGATTGTTGACACACATTATCACAGTCGCCGCGGTCCCAGCAGCTAGAGCGATTGCTGTCATTTGATGGTATTCTCTGCCCTCCGTATGCGCACTCATGAATCAATGATAAGAATATCATGATTCAGGAGTCATGTAATCATCGCCGTACAATGCTTGTTCTATGCACATGTGCACCTTCATTGGTGGAACTTGTTGGCTGATCCCTGCACCCCAGCGGAGGAAATATCCCGCAAAACACGAGCGCTCGATGCTTGAAGTAATTAGCTTGTGTTTGAAGTCAGTGTCTCCAAATCTCCCTGCATAATGTGGAGAAGTATCAAACGACTTCACTCTGATCGTCAGCAATGGATGAATTTCTATAGGCGGATAAACTCTATTCTTGCGCCTGACAGGCGGTCCCTCAAGCTCATAATCCGGGAAAAGCCAAGCACTGGGGAAGATTGGCAGAAGGCCTGTGCGCTGGCAACTCGGTGGAAGTCCTCTCTATAAGAGGGTCAGCATGGGCATTTGGAGTGCGATACCCAGCTCAATTGCGCTGTCTCTGGTTGTACGCATCTTGTAGCGAGACACCGAGCTCACCATGAAGTTTTTCGCACTTGCAGCGCTCTTCGCGAGCACAGCCAGCTCAATTGCAGTCGGCGGTCTCATTCCTGGTGCAAGAGTCATCCCTGCTAACGACGTGGTAACCTTGAAAAAGGTCGGGGCTCAGCATCACAAGCACCCTAACCGTCGCACAGTGATCATCCGTCCCTCTTGCAATGATACCGACGATATCTCTGCCGACTTCCTGTGGGGTATCAAGAAGGCCAACCGTGGAGGAAGGCTGTTGCTGCAGAAGGGGAAGAAGTATATCATCGGCAAGAAGCTCGACCTAACCTTCTTGAAGGATATCGAGGTTCAATTGGACGGAGAACTAAAGGTACTTTAGCCCGAGATCTCACACCCAGCCCTAGCTGCTGCTAATACCATGGAAAGTTCACCAATGACGTGCCCTACTGGCAAGCAAACAATTTCTATTATGACTTCCAGAAATCCATCAGCTTTTGGCGGTGGGGTGGTCAGGACATCAAGATCTTTGGTTCCGGGGTCCTGAACGGCAATGGACAGCGCTGGTACAACGAGTTTGCTGGACACGAGATTCTGGTAAGTATGCCTAGAAGATTGTCAATGCCTCTGCACAGAGTTGTACTGACGAGTCTAGGATCCCAACAACGTGTACTACCGGCCCATCCTCTTTGTGACTGAGAACGCCACCCGAGTCTCGGTCGAAGGCATTACGCAGCTCAACTCTCCCTGCTGGACCAACTTCTTCGTCCGCACCAACGACATCTCGTTCGACAACGTTTTCATTCATGCTTATTCGACTAATGCGTCGGTGGGTTTCCTTTACCTGTGGAAGCAGAGGATAAACTAACAGTGATTAAAATAGGCGCTCCCCAAGAACACCGATGGCTTCGACACGCTCAACGTCGATGGATTGACTGTCACCAACACTCGGGTCGATATCGGTGACGATTGCCTCTCGCCGAAGCCCAACACTACCAATGTCTTTGTGCAGAATCTCTGGTGTAATAACACACATGGGACGTCGATGGGGAGTATCGGCCAGTACCCTGGCGTCATGGATATCATCGAGAATGTTTGGATCGAGAATGTAACCCTGCTGAACGGTCAAGTAAGCAATTTTCCCTCCAATTCTTGGGGTCAACGTCTAATTCTATCAGAACGGTGCTCGTCTCAAGGCATGGGCTGGTCCCAATGTGGGCTATGGTCGCATCAACAACGTGACTTACAAGAACATCCGCGTCGAGAACACCGACAATCCTATCGTCCTGGATCAGTGCTACTTCAACATAAACGCTACAGAGTGTGCTGCCTACCCTTCACGCGTGAACTTCACAAACATTGTCTTTGAGAATATCTATGGAACGTCATCTGGAAAAGAAGGCAAGGTCGTCGCCGATCTGACCTGCTCGCCTAATGCCGTGTGTTCTGGGATCCATCTTAAGGACATTCACCTTACCAGCCCTGCGGGTAGTCCGCCAGTAATTGTCTGTGATGGAATTCAGGGGGACATCGGAGTTGAATGCCAGTCGTCGACTAAGCGCTCTGTCAGTTTGGCCAGGGACCTGAAATACAAGGCATGAGTGTTTGCAGACGAAAATAGTGCATAGAAAGATTTGGCTCAAGTCATCTGTTTAACTCTCATCGAGGATGTGATGAGTAGTGCATCTAATGATTCCGTACGGCCACTGTGGCATGGTTCATAACCGGATTGTTGCTCCAGGCACTTTGCACTAGTAAGAGCTGCTTCTCTAGAGCGACGAATACGCAAACTCTACAAAGCAGAGAAGGTCATGTTTTATCAGACCATATCTTGTACCCTCGGAATTTGGCTCCAAGTCCAGCCTAACGCCCTCACTTGCGCCTTAATCGATAGAGGACCCGACCTGAGCTAATACAATATTGACAAGTATACACCCAATAACAAGTGTGTATACCAGAGATACTCAACAATTTTCAAGCACTCAAGGATCAACAGAACAATAATCTTACTGATGTAAGGATCGTCGAATTAGATTGCAGGCAATTTCGCATCTCAGTGTGCGTGAGGACCTTGGGCCCAACACAGGTACCTTGGGAGTTCCTGGGTGAAATAGACTCATGCTATAGATTCAACCACACAACCAGTAATGGCTCTTCGATTAACGATGGAGGACAATTTGAGCACACTAAAGACGAACCTTGGGGGTTAATTGCAAGCATGTCGCTAGCTGAGGATATAAAATTGAGGCCTTCCCATTATGCTGCGTGCGTCGTCAAATTGCATTCCAGACTCTCGTTCAAGGGACAGTGTTGACTTCCAACAAGATGGTGATTAACTCAGGAACTGACTCTCTCTCCTATCCCGCTTCTGCTCAGCGGGAAGCTGAGGAGAAGCCGACGAGGCAGATCCCAGTGACGCTCCTTTCAGGATTTCTGGTAAGAATCTCCCTTAAGATTGCAACGGCATCAGCTGAATGAGAGCAGGGTAGCGGCAAGACAACACTCCTCGAGCATATTCTTCAATCTCCAGACCATGGACTGCGTATTGCCGTTGTGGTCAATGATATGAGCAAGTATGGGTGCCTCACTATCGGGAAACATTGATGCTTACCAGCAATACAGACTCAACATTGATGCTGCGTTGATCACTCATCACAAGGTTTCGCAGACGAAAGAAAAGCTCATCCAGCTCCAAAATGGATGTATCTGTTGTACACTGCGTGGGGACCTGCTCTCAGAACTTGCTCATCTCGCGCGCCAAAAGGAAGTGCAGTATGTTGTCATCGAGAGCACGGGCATTAGTGAGCCGATGCAAGTAGCGGAAACATTCACGGCCGAGTTCAGCAGTGCAATGTTGCAGGCGGATCAGGAGATGATGGTGGATGAGGAAAGCCGCAAGGTTCTGACAGAGATGTAAGCTCACCCACCGTTCCAATGCTCGTCCTCTGGCCGGTTTTCGGATCCTGACAGCAGCAGTGTCAATCTAGGAGGCCTTCACACACTGGCAAGACTCGACACCACGGTGACTGTTGTCGATGCATTCAATCTTCTTTCCAACTTTGATACCGCCGAGTTCTTGTCAGATCGATACGGATCCAAAGAGATCATCCCAGAGGATGAGCGTACCATCTCCGACCTCATGGTGGACCAGATTGAGTTCGCAGACGTTCTCATCATCAACAAGATTGAGACTGTAGACGAGAATACCCGAACAAGGATCAGGAGATTGTTAAAGACGCTCAACCCCGACGCCAAAGTTCTGGAAACGAGCTACTCCCGTGTCGACGTAAAAGAGATTCTGGGCACGGGAAGGTTCGATTTTATCAAGGCTGCTTCGGGGGCCGGTTGGTTGCGCAGCCTGCATGAAATGACAGTCCAGAATACTGGGAATGGGCAGAGAATGGCTCCGAAGCCGGAGACCTTAGAGTTTGTCTCCCCTGCCCCTMATCCAAAGCGAAAGAAGGTATACTGACTTGAACAGGTATGGGATCAACAACTTTGTGTATACCGCTCGTCGTCCCTTTCATCCTCGTCGCCTCTTCTCCCTTCTTCATGATAAGTTTATCCTCCTGCAGAACAACGAAGCCGAGGAAGATGATGAGAAGGACGATGCAGATGAGGGAGAAGAAGAGGAAGAAGACGACAATATGGAGATTGACGAGGACGAAGACGAAAACGAAGACGATAGTGATGACGAAAGTATCTCCGACTTTGACCAGCCAGACCCGTCCGCGATCCTGCAGAACAAGCGGAATCATCCCGCGTTCGGCTCCGTTCTTCGCTCCAAGGGGTTCTTCTGGCTGGCTACACGGCCCTTTCAATTCGGAGAATGGAGCCAAGCGGGTGGCATGCTGACGATTGGGTGCGGCGGGCCGTGGTTCACAGAAGTGCCAGACGAGGCGTGGCCCGAGGATCCAGACGTCCGGAAATCCATTGAGAATGATTTCCAAGAGCCATGGGGAGACCGAAGACAAGAAATCGTATTCATCGGCGAGGGAATCAACACTGAATTGATAACTAAATTGCTGGATGAATGTCTGGTGGATGACGATGACATGAGCCGGTGGGCAAAGATCATGAAGAACAAGAAACTGTCTTACCGGGAAAAGGAGGAGAAGCTGGGAAAGTTGTGGGAAGATGGCTGGGAGGCATGGCCTGAGTTTGGCATTGTGGATGAAGATGAGGAGGACAACAACGAGGGAGGGAAGAAGAAGCACAAACACCACACCAGCGAGTACCTGGGACATGCCCACTCCCACTCCCACAAATAACTACATTAACTAGACTTGTCATTATAAAGGATGCACTAGGCAAAAGTTTCATCAAATTCGTATCACCATTATTATTCAAAAAGCTTCAATCACCATTCATCCACCCGGCTCATTTTCAAATGCATTCCCTCCACTGGCTTGGTCGTCACAGCGCCGGCAATATGAATCTCTTGCTTAGGATCCTGCATCTCAAACTTGAACCGCCCGACAACACCAGCGACTGCACAGCGCAATTCGGCTCGAGCAAAATCCTTTCCAATACAAGACCGCTGGCCATGCAAGAAAGTGATCTGCGCATAGTTTGTCGACGCGCCACCATTGTGGTTGACGACCTTCTGGCCGTTCTTGTCGGTATCAACCCAGCGTTCTGGCACGAACTCCTCCCCATTATACCCCCAGAATTCAGGACTGCGGTTGATGGCGTACGGACAGATGATGATGCGAGTGCCTTTGGGGACGTGCTTGCCCGCTATGGTGGTATCGCGGACGGCTTCGCGGATTGTGATGGGGACGGTGGGATATAGACGCAGGACTTCCTGGCAGACACCGTTGAGTAGAGGCATTGATTCGAGATCGTTCCAAGTGATAGGGTGGTCACCAGACGGGATATGCTCACGAATCTCCGCCCGCAGACGCTCTTGGACGTCAGGGTGGAGGGTGAGAAGGTAGCATGCCCAGGTGAGTGCGCTGGCGGTGGTCTCATGCTGTTCACGTTAGCTCGATGATTTCAAAGTGAGTCTAGGGAGGCTAGAGATAACATACACCAGCCGCCAGAAAGGTCAGCATTTGATCCACCAGTTCGTCGTCTGTAAAATCCCCACCCACCATCATGGTTCCCAGGATGTCTGCCTCCAGCTCCTTGGCGGTCATCTTGCTGGAAACAATGGTCTTCCTGTTCTCACGAACAATGCCCTTACATAGATCACGCAGGAAACCGGTTTCGGTGTCAATCACCTTGTTCAGGCGCCAGGGTAGTCTTCGTGCAAACCATTGCGGAAGAATAAAGTTGATGGAGAGGAAGGCCATCTTCTCCTTGGTTGGTTCCAGAATAGCAAGGAAGCTGTCGGCAACTTTGTTTTCTGGGTTGTGCAGGGTGCGAAAGTCTCTACCCATGGCCGCGGGACCGATGATATCTAGAGTGAGACGGCTGGGTAAGCTTTAGCGAATATGAGAGAAGCAAAGTGGAAACCATGAGCTTACCTCGCCCACACGCTCATTTCGACCTTACCCACACCGTCCTCCGGACTTGTTCCTTCCATTGGATTCTGCCGAATCTCCTTCTCCAGTTCATCGAGAAAGAGGCCAGTTTTCTCCCACATCAAGGAGTACAATGAACGGATGTTCTTGATATTGAACGCCGGGGTCAAGGCCTTGCGCTGCTTTTTATGCGCGGCGCCCTCAGATAGGATCAAGCCGAAGCCAATGATCCGAGCGAGGAACTCGCGAGCACGCCATGGTTTTTCAAAGTCGTAGGTGTTGGTGCTCATGATGTCCAAAAGAGCCTGGTGATTGGTAGGCAATAGGTGGCTACGGTTGAACACATCTCGGAAATGGATCAGGCCATCGTTGGGGATTGTTTTCATCCATTGCAAGGGAAGACGACCACGAGGGTTATCAAAGATGATTTTTCCATTTATAAATGTGCCCTACTCAATGTTATTAAAGATTGCGACACGCAGGGTCTTGAGCATACCTTGACGGTTGGCAGATGACGATTTGGCGTGACGAAGAAAGGATAGATGATGAAATCCCAGAATATTTTCAGGGCCAAATTGACACCGACCGCCCCTAGGCAGACCGAATGAAAAGAATGCTCATTCAAGACGGAGCGCTGCAGAAAATACCCCTCAGCTAGGGAGACAGAGGCAATGGCCAGCAACATGTCGGCCATGTTGCTAGCACTCTTGGGGAATAACCACTGGGAAGGAAAAGAATGGTCAAAATCAAGAAGAGGCCGAAGGTAAGAACTGAAAATCGGCTAATTTGGGACCGGCATAGAGAGATCTTCCTCCATCGTCTGCGTTTACTGCATCAGTAAGTTTATATGCAAGCGATCGGCCAAGAAGGAGCTAGCATAATCAATAACCCCACGGGGTATCGGCTATACGGCCTCGGCTTGGGCGTTCATATGACGTTTCAATACATTCTGCATGAGATGATACCCTTGAACCGACCAGAATATATCTGCCTGAGCCTGACTGTCTACCAATCCGTGTCGGAGAGGGTCAAAAAGGCCAGAACGTTGAGAATCAGAAGATGATCTTCGCACCCATGTGAATCCCAAGTTCCCAACATTTTACAACAGGCCCCTATTTCTGAGATCGGATAGC